TCCAGTCCACTGAAGCCACAGGCCTCTTTGTGGCAGAGAAGGACAAAAGTGAGCCTTCTTGGTGGAGGACAAAGAGGAAGGTGTGATCCACTTCCACAAGGATGAAATCCGCAAAGGTGGGGATTTAACTTGTGGTAAGACACCAACCACGTCAGAAATATAAAAAAGATATTCAAGGAATCCAAAACCACTTCATATTTTCCTTACCTAATGAGGATTGCCCACCCCCCTTGGATGCTAACAGTCTTTTCTTTTCTTTTTTAATTGAGGGGGCTGTGCAAAAAAATAGTGGCCAGAACAAATAATTATGTTAATTAAAGCTTTTCCTGTAGGCAAAATGATTGGGCAATTTTCCAAGACACCTTCATACACATACACCCCACATAAGTTGTTTATAGTTCTTATATATATGCGTATATTTGTTGTGTTTCCCATATATAGCTATACAGATATAGATATAGATGCACACATTCTAGATCCTATTGCCAACATTCCCACTTATCTCATTTGGGATAAATTGCAGTTGGGTCCCATTGAAAGCTCTCGGAAAAATTAGTCAAGTCCTGAATCCATTGATATTAATTAATACATTGTCCACGAAACCACAGAATGGTTAATTCATGATATAAATTAACATATAGTCCATGAAACGATAGTATGGTTAATTCAGGATATGAATTAACATATAGTCCACAAAACCATAGTATGGTTAATTCAGGATATGAATTAACATATAGTCCACAAAACCATAGTATGGTTAATTCAGGATATGAATTAACATATAGTCCACGAAACCATAGTATGGTTAATTTATGATATAAATTAACATACACTCTATGAAACCATGCCATAGTGCATGCGTTAGTCTTTAAAGTGTCACAGGACTCTATACTTATTTATATATATATTTTGCAACCATATGCCGTCTAAATCTTTTGTACCTTTGCAGTCACTCCCATTGTGTAAAAAGGAACTTTTAGTCCCAGGCAAGTGTGGACAGGATTACATTGCTAGTGTGTATCCAACCCAGTTATTTGCTGAGGTGGAAAATTAAAGTCAATATTGGAGCCTCTCTTCAGGGTGCGTTTAAATTTTTTTGCTACTTTGTTTTTGATTTCGTTCAGAAAGTAGGGGGGGAATATCTTTCGGGAATGTTAGTTACACTTTAAATTGTGTTTTATTTCCATATACGAAGCAAACATCTGAAGCAAAGAAAACGGTCTTGTTTGTTCTGACTATATGGAAGGGCATTTACTTAGTTTTATGAAAATACGAGTTGCGTTAAACGGACTATTTAGATAAAAATCAACACCGCCAACAGTTTCTGCCCGAAATTATATATACAATAGTTTCATCACAAAATAAAATCGTGTTTTTCTATCAGCAAAATCATAGCCTGTTTTCAAAGGCACCTTTATACACACAACACACAATTTGTTGATAGTTCTTATAGAGCTGTATCTTTGCAGGGTCATATATATAAATATATATATATATACATACAAACAAAGGCCAGCATAACTGTGTCTAATGGCAGTCACTTGATATAATCTTTCCAGGTTAAGGAACAAATCGTCTCCGACCGGCATTTTAACTGTGCAGCTTGACCTTGTTGGTGCGTTTGGGTTCTTAAAATATACTTCTTTTGTTAACAGTATCAACAAAGAAGCACAGCCTGTTCCCTCCCACTAAAAACTGCCTTAAACTGCCCATATATCCTTTCCCATAATTTTATCAATGCATAGGACACACGTGGCAATCCAAATCCGTTTCTAAAACATGCTCGGAGAGGCAATGCTCACTGCTTTCACTATTGCATTGAGTTGCAGACTGCCAGAAATAGTGCAAATTGAGTCCACTTTAAGGG